GGCTTGTTCTCTCGACGCGGTCGCCGGTGTTCAAAGCGGAGCTCTTTGGTCCGATGAAAGAGAGCACCACCACCAAGGCCATACGCATCGAAGACATGGAGCCAGCGGTGTTCGATGCGCTGCTCACCTTCATTTACACGGACACCCTGCCAGAGACGAAGGACGGAGAGGAATGTGCAATGGCTCAGCATCTGCTTGTCGCCGCAGACAGGTATAACCTGGAGAGGCTGAAGTTGATCTGTGAAGACAAACTGTGCAAGTATATCGATACGTGCTCTGCTGCGACCATCCTAGCATTGGCTGAAAAGCACAACTGTCACGGGCTTAAGGATGCATGCTTCGCGTTCCTAAGCTCAGCTAAGAATCTGGATGCAGTCATGGAAACAGATGGTTTTGACTACTTGACAGTTAGCTGCCCCAGTGTTCTGAAACAGCTGCTCTCCAAATTTGTTCCCCGTTGAACTGAAAAGAGGCGGTGTGTAACAGCAAATCTTTCATGAGTCCTAACTATATGTAGTCTTACCCAAGAGGATGCAAGGTATCCCAGCCATTGTATATGTTTTCTCATTGTATCCATTATATATGTAGAACTATTTTGGTGGCAGGCTTCGTTTCTAAGAAAGAAGCTTGTGTTTTGGTGCTATGAACAGTTAGTTTATTTGGTTATCTGAAATTGCTAGATTGCTTGTTGCGTTTCCCATAGAGTTCCTGAGAACATTGCATGGATATACTGTGTTTTTTGTTTCTTACATTATCTTCCATTCGGTAGAAGAAACTTGCGTTTGCATAAATCTGTTTGGCTGGAATTTGTGATATGGAAACTAACGTGTTTTGGCCTTTTGGGGCGAGCAAGAGTTTGCTTACTTGAGAAAGACCACATATATATCTTTTTTTCTCTTGCCTTGTGCATCACATGTAGCTTTATTTTCTTCCTTTATCTGAACTCTACAGCAGAGATTTGCAAATTCAGGTGGCAGCACAATGTTAGGAAGTTTACCCTGTACAGAAGAAAAACATTATAATGTTCTAGCTTCCTCTGTTCTACTGATTATTTGTTAACTGCTTTTTTTTTCTTTCCTGCATACTAGATCTTGTTTACCCATTTTAGTTTAGGAGTTAAACTATTTATTGACATTTAAAGGCTACAAGTGCCTGAATTTTTGTGTCCATGCCTGTTCTTGCTGTTTTGCACATTGCAAATTGCAGAAGTGGGAAGTGCAGTCCGGTTATACATCAAGTAAAGAGCAAGGCATTTGAAACTCATGGTCAGCTGTGTTGTGCCATTGATGCAAGTGAAAGTTGGCTGGTATAACTTCATGCCTTTGAAAACTCAAGGATCACGATATTTCTGGTTTGAAGTGTGAAATTCTTTCGCTTAGTTGAGGGAAGGAGGAGGTAGAAAAAGATGACATTGACTACAAACTGTTGATATTTCATTCAAAAGGCGATCTACAGCTGAGGTTCAATGTATAACCCTCATCGTTTTTTTTAACAAAATTGTTCAGGTTACAGTAAAGTGAATACGATGATGGACTATCCCCTGATATTAAACAATATGTTTGGGTATTTTTCCTAACTTTTTGTGGGCAGCAAAAGAAGAATGTTGCATGCTTATTGTCACTGGAGATCTACAGAATAGTTGTAAGCTACATCTGTCTCACTTGCATATATCCTGTAATATTTGAGTTGTAATAAGTATTGTCACTTTCTCTTTGCCTCCCTCATTTTAATCATGCTGTTGACAGAACACTTGAACATAGCGAGGATATATATTTTTGGGAATATAAGAAAGCCCATATGCATCAGGTTGAGATATGACATGAGAGTAGCTAATTATTGCAAATCCACCTGAACCCAAACCACTGGTTACAAATTGTTAGCTGTTACATCGAGAGTATATAGCTTACTGAAAGTACTAAGGTAGAGTCAGAGTCAGTTTTTGACATAATCTGAATATTAGATACAAGACCTACCTAGCTAACAAAACAAATTAAATAGCATCCATTCCTGCATAAAGATGTTATAAGAAGCGGTGAAAATGAAACCTATAAACTAAGCCTGACGTTATTCATGGACAGAATGTTAATTTAAATAGATAGATGTTGATGAATCCTTGCGCAATTTGTGTAAAGCTTAATGCATGTCAAGCCTTCAAACTAATGCAAAGCTTACGCAGGTCTCCTTGCCTATCATTAAAAAATATAATATACTTTTCCACTGCTGGACTGGAATGGCTGAACAATTGATCATAACTTATTTCCTTAAGTCTGTACAGCATCCAATTTTTTTTCTATTTTTGCAGCTAATATATCTCAAGATGGGTTTTGACGTTCTTGTGGCTACCAATGGTCATTTCATTGATTTGTTGGAAAGGGCAAAATATCTTTGCAACTATTAGAAACCTTGCCCTCGAGGTAGATAGAATGCTTGATATGAGTTTCCACCACAAGTTAGGAGAATCGCTGATCGGATGGACATGCCTCCACCAGGTGTCGGGCAGATAATGTTGTTTAGCGAGACATTCCCAAACGAAATATAGGTGAGGTGAGCTGTTTTTTTCTTTGTTATTGATGGTAAATGTTAAACCTATGCAGGTTTTAATATAAGCATCCCCATTTCTTGTAAACGGTTCCAATAAATTTGTGTCTTGCTGGAGCTAGTGACCGATGGAATAGTATGTTAGTAGCCCATTGGTGTGAATAAAAGCGTAACTTCCAAGTTTCCAAGAACTACTAATATCCGATGTATGATTCAGCTAGGATCAATTCGAGAGAAGAAAATGACTTTATTTTCAAGAATTCGTTGTTGGGACAAGAACCAGGATAGAATAAAAGGCATCCAGTCTGCAATGTCGCCTTGTAAATAGTATATCATTAGCAGTGTCACCTTTGTTGTAACCATGTTCGCTTGTCTTATCAGCCGTACTTTTTCAGCGAAAGAACTGTGTTTTTCTCTCACAACAAATCAACGAATATTATTTTCCAGGCACTTGTTTCTTTTTTTACTATTGTTTTTTAAATTATCCATGGCAACAATTGTGCACAATCAAAGTATACAAGAATCCTGAGCTGCCCTTCACATGCTTCTGTGTGATGAATTGTCAATTGGTAATCTGCTTGGCTTAGCTTGCAGTTCTCTCCACACTAAAAAAACTCAAATTAGCTGTTTTTTATGTTGCCTATTGGTAATCAGCTTGGCTTCGCTTGCAGTTCTCTCCACACTAAAAAAACTCAAATTAGCAGTTTTTTATGTTGACGATAGAATTATAACCTTCCATGAGAAGAAAATGTGAAGTGTTACGGCATCTAGCTAGATATTTCTTGATCATGTGTTTCTAAACCTCAATATATAGAATCACCAATAGGTCTATGGGTGTCCAAATGAGGTTAGCGTGCAGCTCAACATCAAATACTGTAATTGTAGGGATGATTCAAGTATCTCCAAGTAAGATATATTATTACAGTAAAAAGAGAGGAAATTTCAATTTCTACAAACTCTCAAACATCGAAGTAATCTCATTGTAAGTTGTAACTATATATTACAGTAAAAAAAGGAGAGCAAATTTTAGTTTCTATAAACTCACAAAGATCAAAGTAAACTGGATGTAAGTTGAACTGGAAGATTTTTCACTGTTAGATTCGTTGGTTTTAGCCTGGGCTTATCAGCCAACCAACAATGTTTTCCTCTCACAATAAATCAAGATCATCGGGCTTATCACCCCGTAAACCAACCAAATGAATAGGCTCTTTATTGTTACTCTACTCAAAAAAAAATTATAGCCACGTGCGTGGCGCACTAGTATATACTTCAAATTCCAACAGGGCCTTACTGTCAGGCTTGTTCACTATAGTTCTTATTAGAGAAATTTTGCTATGGATCGAATAAATGTGATCTCGTTATTTCACACCAAACACCATAATTTGTTAGGTATTATTAAACTATTGTTGTTTGCTGGAGATCGATGTGATTATAATATTATTTTATCGAGTTTGGGGAGAGAGAATGCAGGGGAAATGTCATTTCTTCCTCCCCGTGCTGTCTTTTCTTTCTTGTACAGTTGCACCTGCAGCTCTCTCCAGTGCAGCCGTGTGTATGGCCGGCGAGAGGACTGTTGCTGCTCGCACGGGCTGCCGCCGTGGCCCAACCACCTGACCTTCGGACTTCGGTGATGCCGAGGCTGACCAGCAGCTGCCCGTTGATGGCGGGTCGCCCCGCAAACACGAATTTTTAGAAATATTGGATCAAATTCAAACATTAAAAAAAAAAAAAAAAAACTGGCACCATTATTTCACAAGAAACACTATCAATCCATTGTGCATCACAACTATATCTGTAACGCCGAAAGAATAACACAACATATCGGCCTCGTTCGGCTCGTACGGAGAGAGAACTGTTCACAAAGGAATTTTACTGTTTATAAATGGTTTCTCTCACAAATTCCTCTAGATTCCTCCAAGCGAACGGAGCCATCTGGTAAGGTGGATTGACGGTGAGTCCCACAATAAATTTTCTCTTCTTATTACCTGAACGATGCTATTCCTGCTATAGTTAGTCTTTGGCTGCGATGATCATTAATTTATCTCCAGGAACCAGAATGGTCAGCGATTCAATTTCTAGGCCTCCTAGTAAGCAAAGAGAGACCGAGCAATGCAAATAAACAAGATGGCTAGTTACTAGTTACTAGTTGGAGCTAAAAATTAATTCGAATTAGCTATAGTCGGCTAGCTAGTTAGCTAACAACTACTAGCTCGATCTAACTGAAAAATTAGTCCATCTATTAACCTATTAACCCTGTCGTTTAGATGTGCTATAGCTAATTTTTAGGTGGCTAGCAATTAGCCATTAATGAGTCGTAAACAGGCTTCTGATGAGCAGCAGCAGATGTGATGTACTCCTAGAACTGTTGTGCTCAGTGAATTGTCGTGATAAAATTCAGTTCCAAACTCAGTTGCATGCATGTACACTGGATAATCTCATCTTGTCTTGTCAGTTGTCACGGCCTAAATTAACTCGACTATCGGCGAGAATCCCACGACGCCCGACGATGCGGTGGTCGCCGACGACAGCCGCGGCGTAGCAACCTGCTTGATGGCCACATTAGGGAACGGGCTGCTCCTCCGGCGCTCCTGCTCCTTGACCAGCTCCGCGACCAGCGTGTCCACTTTCTCGGCGTTCGTCCGCTCCGACAGCCTCCGCCCGCGGAATAGCACCGATTCCACGTTCCGCTGCGCCAGCATCGTCTCTGCGGCAGCGGCCGCCGTCTCCGCGTGGAGAGGCGCCGGTTTCCTGCCGGCCTGGATACGGACGTAGTTGCTTCTACACGCGTCCCCGAACGCCATGGCTATGGATGAAAACGGTACGGATATTTATTCGACCGTCCTTTCGACCGAACAAATATGAACACTTATTCGGATAGTTACTCGGATATCCGGGTTTTTTTTCGGATACGGATACTAAAACGGATATCTTAGGCGGATATCAAATACGGATGTAATATCATCGATATCCGGCGGATATCGGATAATCCGGATAAGTATCGGATATATCCGGATATTTAAAAACGGATATTATCCGGATATTTATTCAAAATTTAAAAATCACAAATTTGAACCATCCAAACTATCTCAAATGGAAAGTTGACCAAAACAACAATTGTAGATCTTGATGAGTTGAACAAACTTGGTATTCAAAACTTTTCAATTTGAAGTCATTTAGAGTTCATAATACTAGAGTCCAAGTGTTGTTTTTTCATTTGACCAAATTTGACTTGGTCAAACTTGCTCAAATGAGACACTAAATGACCTCAGATGAAAAAACTTTGAATACCAAGTTTGATCATCTCAGCAAGATCTACAATTGTTACATAGCTCATTTTTCCATTTGAGAAATTTTTATCAAACACTAGTCATAAATTCTTGAATCTCATATAGACTTTCTGAAACTATGTCACACACTTGTGAAATTTGAACTATATTTTATTCAAACTTTCTCAAATAAAAAATGGCCTATATAAGGATTGTATATCCTGATGAGATAAACAAATTTGGTATTCAAAACTTTTCAATTTGAGACAATCTAGGGTTCCGAAAACTAGTTTGTACACGTCGAAATTTAAAAATCATAAATTTGAACCGTACAAACTATCTCAAATGGAAAGTTGACCAAAACAAAAATTGTAGATCTTGATGAGTTGAACAAACTTGGTATTCAAAACTTTTCAATTTGAAGTCATTTAGAGTTCATAATACTAGAGTCAAAGTGTTGTTTTTTCATTTGACCAAATTTGACTTGGTCAAACTTGCTCAAATGAGACACTAAATGACCTCAGATGAAAAAACTCTGAATACCAAGTTTGATCATCTCAGCAAGATATACAATTGTTACATAGCTCATTTTCCCATTTGAGAAAGTTTTATCAAACACTAGTCACAAATTCTTGAATCTCATATAGACTTTCTGAAACTATGTCACACACTTGTGAAATTTGAACTATATTTTGTTCAAACTTTCTCAAATGAAAAAATAGCCTATATAAGGATTGTAGATCTTGATGAGCTGAACAAACTTGGTATTCAAAACTTTTAAATTTGAGACAATCTAGGGTTCCGAAAACTAGTTTGTAAGCATCGAAATTTTAAAATCACAAATTTGAACCGTCCAAACTATCTCAAATGGAAAGTTGACCAAAACAAGAATTGAAGATCTTGATGAGTTGAACAAACTTGATATTCAAAACTTTTCAATTTGAAGTCATTTAGAGTTCATAATACTAAAGTCAAAGTATTGTTTTTTCATTTGACCAAATTTGACTTGGTCAAACTTGCTCAAATGAGACACTAAATGACCTCAGATGAAAAAACTTTGAATACCAAGTTTGATCATCTCAGCAAGATCTACAATTGTTACATAGCTCATTTTTCCATTTGAGAAATTTTTATCAAACACTAGTCATAAATTCTTGAATCTCATATAGACTTTCTGAAACTATGTCACACACTTGTGAAATTTGAACTATATTTTATTCAAACTTTCTCAAATAAAAAAATGGCCTATATAAGGATTGTATATCTTGATGAGATAAACAAATTTGGTATTCAAAACTTTTCAATTTGAGACAATCTAAGGTTCCGAAAACTAGTTTGTACACGTTGAAATTTAAAAATCACAAATTTGAACCATCCAAACTATCTCAAATGGAAAGTTGACCAAAACAAAAATTGTAGATCTTGATGAGTTGAACAAACTTGGTTTTCAAAACTTTTCAATTTGAAGTCATTTAGAGTTCATAATACTAGAGTCAAAGTGTTGTTTTTTCATTTGACCAAATTTGACTTGGTCAAACTTGCTCAAATGAGACACTAAATGACCTCAGATGAAAAAACTCTGAATACCAAGTTTGATCATCTCAGCAATATCTACAATTGTTACATAGCTCATTTTTCCATTTGAGAAATTTTTATCAAACACTAGTCATAAATTCTTGAATCTCATATAGACTTTCTGAAACTATGTCACACACTTGTGAAATTTGAACTATATTTTATTCAAACTTTCTCAAATAAAAAATGGCCTATATAAGGATTGTATATCTTGATGAGATAAACAAATTTGGTATTCAAAACTTTTCAATTTGAGACAATCTAAGGTTCCGAAAACTAGTTTGTACACGTTGAAATTTAAAAATCACAAATTTGAACCGTCCAAACTATCTCAAATGGAAAGTTGACCAAAACAAAAATTGTAGATCTTGATGAGTTGAACAAACTTGGTATTCAAAACTTTTCAATTTGAAGTCATTTAGAGTTCATAATACTAGAGTCAAAGTGTTGTTTTTTCATTTGACCAAATTTGACTTTGTCAAACTTGCTCAAATGAGACACTAAATGACCTCAGATGAAAAAACTCTGAATACCAAGTTTGATCATCTCAGCAAGATCTACAATTGTTACATAGCTCATTTTTCCATTTGAGAAATTTTTATCAAACACTAGTCATAAATTCTTGAATCTCATATAGACTTTCTGAAACTATGCCACACACTTGTGAAATTTGAACTATATTTTATTCAAACTTTCTCAAATAAAAAATGGCCTATATAAGGATTGTATATCTTGATGAGATAAACAAATTTGGTATTCAAAACTTTTCAATTTGAGACAATCTAGGGTTCCGAAAACTAGTTTGTACACTTCGAAATTTAAAAATCACAAATTTGAACCGTCCAAACTATCTCAAATGGAAAGTTGACCAAAACAAAAATTGTAGATCTTGATGAGTTGAACAAACTTGGTATTCAAAACTTTTCAATTTGAAGTCATTTAGAGTTCATAATACTAGAGTCAAAGTGTTGTTTTTTCATTTGACCAAATTTGACTTGGTCAAACTTGCTCAAATGAGACACTAAATGACCTCAGATGAAAAAACTCTGAATACCAAGTTTGATCATCTCAGCAAGATATACAATTGTTACATAGCTCATTTTCCCATTTGAGAAAGTTTTATCAAACACTAGTCACAAATTCTTGAATCTCATATAGACTTTCTGAAACTATGTCACACACTTGTGAAATTTGAACTATATTTTGTTCAGACTTTCTCAAATGAAAAAATAGCCTATATAAGGATTGTAGATCTTGATGAGCTGAACAAACTTGGTATTCAAAACTTTTCAATTTGAGACAATCTAGGGTTCCGAAAACTAGTTTGTAAGCATCGAAATTTAAAAATCACAAATTTGAATCGTCCAAACTATCTCAAATGGAAAGTTGACCAAAACAAGAATTGAAGATCTTGATGAGTTGAACAAACTTGATATTCAAAACTTTTCAATTTGAAGTCATTTAGAGTTCATAATACTAGAGTCAAAGTGTTGTTTTTTCATTTGACCAAATTTGACTTGGTCAAACTTGCTCAAATGAGACACTAAATGACCTCAGATGAAAAAACTCTGAATACCAAGTTTGATCATCTCAGCAAGATCTACAATTTTTACATAGCTCATTTTCCCATTTGAGAAAGTTTTATCAAACACTAGTCACAAATTCTTGAATCTCATATAGACTTTCTGAAACTATGTCACACACTTGTGAAATTTGAACTACATTTTGTTCAAACTTTCTCAAATGAAAAAATAGCCTATATAAGGATTGTATATCTTGATGAGCTGAACAAACTTGGTATTCAAAACTTTTCAATTTGAGACAATCTAGGGTTCCGAAAACTAGTTTGTACACGTCGAAATTTAAAAATCACAAATTTGAACCGTCAAAACTATCTCAAATGGAAAGTTGACCAAAACAAAAATTGTAGATCTTGATGAGTTGAACAAACTTGGTTTTCAAAACTTTTCAATTTGAAGTCATTTAGAGTTCATAATACTAGAGTCAAAGTGTTGTTTTTTCATTTGACCAAATTTGACTTTGTCAAACTTGCTCAAATGAGATACTAAATGACCTCAGATGAAAAAACTCTGAATACCAAGTTTGATCATCTCAGCAAGATATACAATTGTTACATAGCTCATTTTCCCATTTGAGAAAGTTTTATCAAACACTAGTCACAAATTCTTGAATCTCATATAGACTTTCTGAAACTATGTCACACACTTGTGAAATTTGAACTATATTTTGTTCAGACTTTCTCAAATGAAAAAATAGCCTATATAAGGATTGTAGATCTTGATGAGCTGAACAAACTTGGTATTCAAAACTTTTCAATTTGAGACAATCTAGGGTTCCGAAAACTAGTTTGTAAGCATCGAAATTTAAAAATCACAAATTTGAATCATCCAAACTATCTCAAATGGAAAGTTGACCAAAACAAGAATTGAAGATCTTGATGAGTTGAACAAACTTGATATTCAAAACTTTTCAATTTGAAGTCATTTAGAGTTCATAATACTAGAGTCAAAGTGTTGTTTTTTCATTTGACCAAATTTGACTTGGTCAAACTTGCTCAAATGAGACACTAAATGACCTCAGATGAAAAAACTCTGAATACCAAGTTTGATCATCTCAGCAAGATCTACAATTTTTACATAGCTCATTTTCCCATTTGAGAAAGTTTTATCAAACACTAGTCACAAATTCTTGAATCTCATATAGACTTTCTGAAACTATGTCACACACTTGTGAAATTTGAACTACATTTTGTTCAAACTTTCTCAAATGAAAAAATAGCCTATATAAGGATTGTATATCTTGATGAGCTGAACAAACTTGGTATTCAAAACTTTTCAATTTGAGACAATCTAGGGTTCCGAAAACTAGTTTGTACACGTCGAAATTTAAAAATCACAAATTTGAACCGTCAAAACTATCTCAAATGGAAAGTTGACCAAAACAAAAATTGTAGATCTTGATGAGTTGAACAAACTTGGTTTTCAAAACTTTTCAATTTGAAGTCATTTAGAGTTCATAATACTAGAGTCAAAGTGTTGTTTTTTCATTTGACCAAATTTGACTTGGTCAAACTTGCTCAAATGAGACACTAAATGACCTCAGATGAAAAAACTCTGAATACCAAGTTTGATCATCTCAGCAAGATATACAATTGTTACATAGCTCATTTTCCCATTTGAGAAAGTTTTATCAAACACTAGTCACAAATTCTTGAATCTCATATAGACTTTCTGAAACTATGTCACACACTTGTGAAATTTGAACTATATTTTGTTCAGACTTTCTCAAATGAAAAAATAGCCTATATAAGGATTGTAGATCTTGATGAGCTGAACAAACTTGGTATTCAAAACTTTTCAATTTGAGACAATCTAGGGTTCCGAAAACTAGTTTATAAGCATCGAAATTTAAAAATCACAAATTTGAACCGTCCAAACTATCTCAAATGGAAAGTTGACCAAAACAAGAATTGAAGATCTTGATGAGTTGAACAAACTTGATATTCAAAACTTTTCAATTTGAAGTCATTTAGAGTTCATAATACTAGAGTCAAAGTGTTGTTTTTTCATTTGACCAAATTTGACTTGGTCAAACTTGCTCAAATGAGACACTAAATGACCTCAGATGAAAAAACTCTGAATACCAAGTTTGATCATCTCAGCAAGATCTACAATTTTTACATAGCTCATTTTCCCATTTGAGAAAGTTTTATCAAACACTAGTCACAAATTCTTGAATCTCATATAGTCTTTCTGAAACTATGTCACACACTTGTGAAATTTGAACTACATTTTGTTCAAACTTTCTCAAATGAAAAAATAGCCTATATAAGGATTGTATATCTTGATGAGCTGAACAAACTTGGTATTCAAAACTTTTCAATTTGAGACAATCTAGGGTTCCGAAAACTAGTTTGTAAGCATCGAAATTTAAAAATCACAAATTTGAACCGTCCAAACTATCTCAAATGGAAAGTTGACCAAAACAAGAATTGTAGATCTTGATGAGTTGAACAAACTTGGTATTCAAAACTTTTCAATTTGAAGTCATTTAGAGTTCATAATACTAGAGTCAAAGTGTTGTTTTTTTATTTGACCAAATTTGACTTGGTCAAACTTGCTCAAATGAGACACTAAATGACCTCAGATGAAAAAACTCTGAATACCAAGTTTGATCATCTCAGCAAGATATACAATTGTTACATAGCTCATTTTCCCATTTGAGAAAGTTTTATCAAACACTAGTCACAAATTCTTAAATCTCATACGGACTTTCTAAAACTATGTCACACACTTGTGAAATTTGAACTACATTTTGTTCAAACTTTTTCAAAATGAAAAATGGCCTATATAAGGATTGTAGATCTTGAATCCATGACCATGACTCCATGAGACCCATGAAGTAATGTGCTTGGCTATTTCTACTCATGCCGCGAAGATTAATGCTTATATGATGTTTGATGTATGATGTATCTGTATCTTTATCTTATTTGTTGCTTTACTCTTTAGTTTTTCGGCTTAATCTAGATGGATTATGGACTCATAGAGTGGTGTAATGGTTTTTGCGCATGATGATATATATATATATATACCGCTTTTACTCAATATCCGAATAGATATTTGTATCCGACCTTCTCCGAATCCGATTCATACCGTATTCGATACTCATTATTCGTATCCGTAACCGAGTCAATCCGTATTCGTATATGTATCCGAACGCTATCCGTGTCCGAATCCGAATCCGAACAGAAATATGAAAACAAATATAATATGAGTGATATCCGTTCGTATCCGATCCGTTTTCATCCCTAGCCATGGCCACTGATTCGTCCACCATGTCCGCCACACCCTCGGCGGTGACGCGTGCAAGCTCGCGCGGTGACGGTGCGCGTGTGGGCGGCACTGGCGTGTTCGGCTTCGGCCCGCTAGAGACGGTGGTGGACGAGCCGGTGCCGATGGAGAAGACGAGGATGTCCTCGACGCTGGTGGCGAGCGGGAACTCCAGCTTGTTGTGCAGCACGTGCGTAACGGCGGCGGCGGCCGGGTTGCCCATGGCCGCCACGCCCGCGCACGCCGCGGCGATGGCCGTGAGGCCGTCGACGGACCTCACGTCGGCGAGCGCGCCACGGTCGGCGCAGGTAGCAGCGCAGACGTCGCGGAGGCGGAAGTCGAGGCTGTCGCTCTCGACGGCGTCGGCGCGCGAGAACACGAACGGCGCGGCCGTGGCGAGGTCGTAGCACGGCACGAGGAGCGGCGCCACTGTGTCCCTGAGCGTCGCGTCGCCGAACACCCGGCGGAGCATGCGGTCGCCGCCGCCGCTACGGGCGCCGCGGAAGAGCTTCGCCCACCGCCCGCGCTGACCGCCCCAGCCCTTCTCCTTCCTCCCGACGCTGCTGGCGACGAACGCGAGCGCCTCCTGCGCAGTGTACCGCGGCCGCCCGTCGGCGCCCCTGAGGAACAGCATCGCGGCCAGCACGGCCCCCGCGCCGGCGCCCGCGGCCACGTCGAAGAAGTCGGCCACGCGCGCGTCGGGGTCCCCGGCCTGCTCCTGCAGCCCGGACTCGAGCCTCGCGAGCGCCGCGGCCGCCAGGAGCGCGTCCTCGGCGCCGCCTGCGCCGCAGCCGTCGATGGACAGCATCCGCACGCGCCCACCGTCAAGAAATGCTCTGGCCGGCGTGCCGGCGCCGGCGCCGAAGAGGAACTTGCTCTCGAGAAGGGAGAAGATCTCGTAGCTGAGCTTGTCCACCACGCCCATGGCTTTCGTCTGTGGCGACGGCATTGCCGCGTACGCTTCCATCTCTTTCTCTCTCGGCCACAGATCGAGGCAGCAAGATGAATTCGAGCTCGAGATGCAAGAGACGACTGAGACTGTGATTGTTCGATGCGGCCTAGTCCACTCGAACTGGCGCCTTTATATAGAGGTGAAGGCAGCGCATGGTAGCTGCGCCCGACGACAGCTAGCGTACGGACGTGTCCTGACCCGTCTGAGCCTTGAAGCGAAGGTGGCTGGAAACGTCGCAACGAACGCGCTCGACGCTCCGCTGGACGGGTCGCCTCGCCGCGCCGCGCCCACGTACACGCACCCGACGGTGACCGGAAGCTTCCGCGCATGCCGCGAGGCGCCGCTGTCGTGCGGGCTCCATCAGTCGGTGCCAGTGGGCTAGCCGGGAATCACTGGCGCCCGGGTCGCCGACGGGATCGGGGTCGGATAGGGTGTCCGGGGATGGCGAGAGTGCGAGACAGCAGCGGACGTGCGGCGATCGTGTGAGGGACAGCGGCGGGTCGCGCTGGTTTCACGGCCGGGACCTGCCCGCGCGCATCGGCATCGATCAGATGGAGCTCCACTTTGTCGGCGCTGGCGCTGGCGCTGGCGCTTGCAGGCTGCAGCATATATCCACAGTTAATGGCGCACGCCCATGGGTTTGGGGGCTTTGGGGCTTTGGGCGTCTGGGCGTTTGGGTTGTGCATGTGCTGGGTGAGTCCACGTCGTCGCCGAGGTGGGCGCTGTGTCCCTGCAGGGCGTCGGCGCTGGATCTGTGCCGCTCACCGTTCACGTGGTTTCCACACGTGGGGAGACATCAAGGTACAACCGTACGATACAAGTTGCAGTGATCCTGGAGCCTGTGTAGTGTAGGAGTAGGAGCAAAGCAGGGTACATTCTCAACTGCGAAGACCATTGGTTTTGGTACCTTGGCATTCCCGAATTTGCTCCAGATTTTGTTCACGGTTATGCAGCGTCTCTCAGATTAGCTGTAATATGGAATTCAGTATATGGGCGATGCTGGAACTGTCTTTTATCTGCAGGAGCAGTTCATAGTAGATAGTTGTAATCGGAACGTTACAGGAAAGAATGGCACCCAAAAAACACAGCTGTAACTAATGACTGAGTCGAATAACGCGAAACACAGCAACTTTCATAAAGAATAAAAATACCTATGCACAGTGTATGGCTGTTGGAGCAGGAAAATATAGTTAAGCACAACAGCAGTCAGGTGTGGTGAAAATAGTAATTGTCCTCCTGAAATCTTAGAACTGACCACAGGCAAAGCAGCGACAATCCTAAACATAAAGGCGAGAAAAATTAGTGTAGCTATCTAAAATAGAAGCATACTATGTGCAAACGAACGACATCTACTGGCATAATGCAATGATCGCAAATATATATGTAAAACAGGAGCACGCCTGTGTAATAAGAGAAACATAAACATGATACAAGAGGCACACATTTTCACGAGGATGACATAATCCAAAGAATAATAAGGAGTGGTCTGTTAAAAAAGACCTAGCTGATGAGGGGATCCTGCTAAACCGTTGAACGGAAACACAAGGTCGCCAGCGAAAAATAGACATGTATTTTCCTTCTTTTTTTTTGCGAGCAACATGTATTTTCACTAAGATGACATAATAATAATCCAAATAGGTAACCGAACGAAAGAGGTACTGAATGGACTATAAAATTTAAATTTAGCACACCATGTGAGGCCGCTGGATCCGTGACGAGCAAGAGAGGTTTGTAAAAAAAAACTAAATCTACATACACGAACATAAACCCATGTGTCTTTTGTGGTGGTGTAAGAAGACACACACATCATGTGGCAGCTGACGAACAGACAGCACCAATTGCACATGACACAGCGAGACGAACTAAGCCGATGTAGGACGACATGGAATCGGATCGCGAAAACAAGAAATACACAGCTAGGTGCACCCAAGATCCTTAACACGAAGGTAAACAAAGGGACCAAAAAAATTACCACTCAGGCACGAAAGCACGAGACGAAGAAGCCGCGGCGGTAGCCCACAACGAGACCACGTGTCCGAAAGGAATCACCTCTATTGTAAATAGCAACTGTCATGTACTGTTGTAAATAGCAATGAACTATTTAAAAAGCAATGCAAAATCACCTCTGCAAAAGGGAGAAAGCTAGGAACCAGACGTCTAATTCTGCATCATCATATAGGCCATCTTGTTGAATGTTGATCACCTCTGGAGGTACATACGCTGTTGCTGCACGAGTATTATAGTGCAGTTTATCTTGCCTCGTTGACTTTCAAAGTGTGTTCAGCCCAAAATCCGACATGTCGAAGTTCTAGGTGATTTAATAAGACAGTGTCGCACCTAGAATTTAACTTTCGCTATGAGTTTATTTTAAACAGGCCTATTCACCCCCCTCTAGGAGACATCAAGGTCCTTTTAATTGGTATCAGAGCAAGGTTCTCAATTTAGGGCTTAACCGCCTTGAGAGACGATGTCGACAAGTGAGGAGGTATCTCTAGAACTTCTACTTTTAGATGACTCAAATTATGCATCTTGACCCGCTAGTGTGCTTGATGTTTTTAGGGCCATGGGTCCTCATATTGAGCGGATTGTAGATGTAAGCATTTTATCTCCTAGTGACGATTTGACCATCTTATCTAAAGAGGAAGTAAAATGCTTACAATATAATGCTCAAGCTACTAATGTCTTATTTAGTGCTTTGAGTGAAGATGTTTTTGATGTCGTCATATTTGGAGATGATGAACCACTTGATGATGCTCATATCATTTGGACCACACTCAAACAAAAATATGACAAGTCCAAATGTAATGAGAAGTTGCTGTCATTTGAGGAACCACTTGAGGAGTGCTCAACTTCACCGACAAATGAAGAGCCTCAAGTTATTCTCCCAAAAGGTCCAAGTGATCATCCCACATCCACTTCCTCACCAACATATGACTTAATAGAAGGTAATGAAATGGTTGGTGAGAACAATGCTTTTACATGTGGCACTTCTACTTCCTCTAGTTCTTGTGAGACTAACATTTTAAAGGAAGAAGAAACTTATGATCAGTGGAGGCCAAATGACGAATCCACCTCACCAAGAAACTCAACTCTCTATGCCACTCCTCATTTGGGTCTCATGGCAAAGAAAGAGAAGAATGTGGCAAGTGAGAGTGAGAGTGAAGGTGAAAGTGAGAGTGAGAGTGAAGATGAAAGTGATGATGATGAGTTCAATCAATACTTGGCACGTCTAACCAAGAAAGACAAGTTGATGGTGCTCAAGCTCATAGAGAAAATTCAAGAGCAAGAAGAAACACTTCACGAGCAAAAAGAGTTTCTCATCAATAAGATCAAATGCTTGGAGAAGTTGACCAAAAAGCATAAAAAGCTTAAGTGCTCTCATGCTAGTTTGGTCAAAAGGTATGAAAACTTGTCAATTGAGCAATCTCGTACTATTAACTCTCTATCTTGTGTTGCCAAATTAGAAGATGGGAATTATGTGCTCAAGGACAAGGTGGAAAGGCTCACTAGCAAGAATGAGATCTTACAAGAAGATCATGATGAGCTTTTGTGCTCTCATGAGAAGCTTATGGATTCTCATCTCATGCTAGAAATTGCTCATGAGGTTGTGGTAACAATGGTAAAATTATACCAACCTCACACTCACAAGTGCACATGTACACAAGTTCCATTTATTTTATCATGTGCTAACAATTGTTGCTATCAAGCAAGCCAACCTTCCGTTGAGCATGTACTTGTAGAAATTTGTGATTATTCCACTACAAAAGAAAATGAAGAGCTCAAGGAAGAAGTTGAGAGGCTAAGAAGGGACTTGATTCAATGGAAGGGCAAGTGCAATGCTCAACCTTCTCAAGATAACCGTAAAGACATGGTGAAGAAGCTTGAGAAGGGATCAACTGAAGCATGCATCAAGCCACATTAAGAAGGACACAAGTCCAACAGTGCCAAAGTCAAGGGAAAATTTGAAGAAGTGCAATATGTCCAAAATTGAGCAGTTCAGCTTAAGGCTGCAGAGGTTCTAGGATGCGGCAGTGCCACATCCCAGTGTGGTAGTGCCGCACCTAGGCAGAGCAGCAAAGCCCCCAAGGCGACCAAGGTGCAACTTCAACCAAAGAAGACTCCCATCACTTGCTTTTGGTGCAAGAAGGAGGATCACCATGTAAGAGATTGCTCCTTGAAGAAATAAAACTAAGGCATGAGTAAGATTTAAGAGAAGAAGAAGATGACTCATGTCAAGTGCCTCAAGTGTTTTAACATGGGACATAATGCCTCTATGTGTTCCAACAAGGTTGATGACCAAGCCACACTTCCAAGGAAGAAGACAAGAAGAAACAAGAGGAAGTGTTATGATTGCAATGAGAAGGGACATGAAATTAGCTCATGTTCTAACAAGAAAAGTAAAAGCCTTGTGTCATCAAGAAAGAGGCTCATTAGCAAGGTAGCAAACAAGAAGCATGATAAAAAAATGTCTTACAAGATCAAGCGCCGCATTTGCTACACTTGCCAAGGAAAGGGACATCTAAGTATGGATTGTCCCATGGGTAACACTCCTAAGCTCAACTCATCAATTAATTTAAATTTACTTAGGAGGCCCAAAAATGACACTTATGCTAGAAAGGTGATTTGTTCACCACGTGCTAGCACAAAGACCATTTGGGTGCCTAAGCCTCTTATGACTAACTTTGATGAACCCAACATAGTTTGGGTACCAAGTTGTGCTTGATAAGTGTTGTAGGTACTTGGAGGTGGTATGAAGCTTTGGGGTGCTTGAGCAAGTTAATTAAAAATATCATCTCAAGCTATCAATCTTATTCATATTGTCTATTTTTTCAAGATTGACCCAAGGACAATTTGATGGATATATTTCTAACTTCATACTCACCTCGGTAACTTGTACCTAACCCTTCCTAGATAGTCACTTGACTTGTGTAGTCTCTAGTAGTTCACAAATATGTGTGTGTTTGTGAATTGTTAAGAGTGGCTAGAGTATTTCAAGT